CTTGGTAACCTGGGCCAATTGCCTCTGCTGCTTCTCCCATCCAAGTACTAACCAGACCCTGCTTAGCTTCCAAGATCAGACAAGATCCGGCATGTTCAGCTTGGTATGGCTGTACAATCTCAGCTGCTTCCTGAGAGACATTTGAGAAGGTGGAGAGGCACAGCCATGGCGCTCAAGGTCAGCGCTCAACTACTGCATGCACCTTCGTTTTCTTTGTATTCCCTGCTGACGAGCTCAGAGAAAGCCCAGAACCAGTCCTTCCTTTAACAGCTGTCCTCTCCAAAGTGGGTTTTGAGCTGAGCTTTTCTGCATCATTCTCATCTTAATTGTTTTCTGTTTTTTTTCAGGGATCCTTAGCATTTTCTGGCTCTTGTTTTCCATCATTGTTATGTATAAATTATTAAGGAAATATATACATAGAGTTTATGGGACATTTGCCACATGCCAGGCAGTTTTTTGAGTGCATAATATATATTAACTCATTTGATCTTCACAATCACCATTTGGGGAAAATATTACTTTATTCTCATTTTACTGACAAGGGAAGTACGGCAGCACAAGGATGGGCCTGGCAAGTGACAGAGCTTGGGTCCAGGCAGTGTCAGCTGCTTCCCTTTCCATTTCTTCTGCCTCCCAGAATGAAACAGGTACAGTCCAAGAGGCCCGGCTAAGTATAGAAGCACCTAATATCTCAGACTGGGTGAGTTGACAGAGGGATCATAAAGAGGTGGAAGTTCATAAAGGCCTCTCAATATCAGAATTCAGTTTTGTATTATAATTCATGGTACCTCTAAATCCTCCACTTAAATCCTCCACTTCTGCTGGTGGCAGAAAACCTTAAACGTGTAAATTCAAGATCAACCCATAAACTCAGCCTCCTATGAGTCCGTATTTAGCTAAATGCACACCCTTTTCCTTGGGGGATGTTCTCCCTTTCCTTGGAGCAAAAGCTGTCTGCTGGCCTGGCAGCAGATTCTCCATTTGTTCTGACGTAGTAATGGGATATTGACCCCCTTACCACTTGGCTACTCTCCTGTAGACTTTTTTCTCTTTAAAAACATGCAGATCTGTGACATTCACTTGGTTGTTCTCAGCATTTGACAAGGAGAAAAAACTCAGGTGAGGCAGACTTTGTTAGAATATCTGGCTCTATTCTCTTTTGAAGTTTTGTCATTTTCTTTTTAAGAATTATTTTATTTATTCAAAAGACAGAGTTACAGACAGAGGTAGAGCCATAGAGAGAGAGGTCCTCCACTCTGGTGGCCCATCCCCCAAATGACTGCGACAGCCAGAGCTGAGTTGATCCAAAGCCAGGAGCCAGGAGCTCCCCCATCCCCAGGCTCCCAGTGTGGAAGCAGGGGCCCTAGGAGCTGGGCCATCCTCCACTGCTCTTCCAGGCCACAGCAGAGAGCTGGATTGGAAGAGGAGCAGCCAGGACCCAAATTGGTGCCCATTTGGGATGCCAACACTGCAGGCTGGTCTTTAATCCACTGTGCCACAGCGCCAGCCCCTGAAGTTATGCCATTTTTCTAATGGCAGGTTTTGCCCTAGCTCATTAGAGGTGTTCTTCATTTCCACAAGGGGATATCTTTGGACTCCAGATCTGCCCTCAAATTCAGCTTATAGCTCAGGAACCTGCATTTCCAACAGATCCTCTATTTTGAGATCTTACTTCACTCATTTCTCCTTTGTGGCCATTTCCCCTGCTCATCTTTAAGATAAACAATAGGACACCCACTCTATTTGCTGCTCTCCAGATTGGGAATATTAGTGAAAATTTTTAGACTTTAGTGACTCACTAGTTACCTCCAAGGGGCAGAGGTAGCATGTGAAGCCTTATTACACTGTGCTATTGTGTTTAAATCCAGAATCTTCCATCTTGTTCTTGGGTTGCCATTTATTTTTTTGGACTATGCTGCTTTGTTGTCTGGTTACTTCACATGAAAAAAAATCTCTAGGTTTCAGTACCTTTTATATTTATTTGTTAGATATTTGAGAAGAAGATTATTAACAGAAACTTCCATCAAGTAGAAAGCAATCCCTGGGGTATTGACGACTAAGCTCTCAAATGTCAATGAATATCAGAGTTCAAAGCCTTGGGAATGACGGCACGTGCTCAGCAGGTGGTCTCGCTTGATGTGTAGTCTTTTGCAAAGTCCTGTGTGTTGCTGGCACTCGGAGCAGCGTACGCAAGTTTGCAGGTGAGGGTCTCAGGAAAGGGTCAGAATCTCTTCTCAGTTTTGGAGGTGAAAAGTATGATGTCTAGGAAGTCATATTCTTGTTAGATGGGAAAGTCGGATGAAACACAAAGGGGAACCTGCCCTCAGTGACGAGGGGGAAGCAGACTTGCCATGGGAAGGCAAGCTAGCCTCCTCAGAAACAGGCACAGTGCTCAGAGAGCCCCAGAGCAGAAGGAGCTGAAATCAGTCTTTCTGATACTAGACTGTAGGATCTACGATTTTTTTGTTTCTAAAGATTTATTTTATTTATTTGAAAGAGTTATCTGGAGAAGTAGAGACAGAGAGAGAGAGAGGTCTTCCATCTGCTGGTTCACTCCCCAAATGGCACCAATGCCCCGAGCTGGGCTGATCTAAAGCCAGGAGCCAGGAGCTTCTTTTGGGTCTCTCAAATGGGTGCAGGGGCCCAAACACTTGGGTCATTTTCTGCTGCTTTCCCAGGCACATTAGCAGGGAGCTGGATCGGAAGTGGAGCAGCCGGGACTTGAACCGGTGCCATAGGGGATACTGGCACTGCAGATCAGGGCCTTAACCCACTGCACCACAGAGCCAGTCCCAATGAACTAGGATTCTTGATTTGTTTTTGTTTACTTTAGTTTTGTTTTTCTTCAGAATTTTTATAAAGTCTGTGGAAAAAATTCCAGTCTGGCTCTGTTTTGTTAAGGAACATAGGGAAGGATTTGTTTTTGTCCTTGGGTCTATGTTTTTCAGGTGCTGTTTTTTGTTTTTTTTTTTTTTCCCTCCTGTTTTTTAGAGGAAGAGGGGCCAGGATGGCACTGGAACATCTTAGAGTACATATTGAGGTGACTAAGCACTTAGAAAAGGAGAACTCCCAGGTGGGTATTTGGCACAGCAGTTACAACACCACTTGGGACACCCATAACCCATTTCAGAGTGCCTGGGTTCGAGTCCCAACTTTTCTCTCAATTCCAGCTTCCTAGTAAAGTACACATTGGGAGTCAGCAGTAGAAGGATCAAGAACTTGGGTCTCTGGCACCCATGTGGGAGAATCAAAATGAGTTCCAGTTCCTGGGTTCAGCCTGGCTCAATCTTGGCTGTCGCTGGGATTTAAGGAGCGAACCTGCACATGTGAGATCCCTGTGTGTCTCTGCCTTTCAAATAAATAAAAACTGGAGAGGGAGGGAGGGACAGAGAGAGATGGGGGAGGTTTATCTGTGGGAAAGGGAGAGGGGGGAGGAAGAGAGAGAGGAGAGAGAGAAACTGATGAGGATATGAAATCAGAGGAAACAAATTAGGCCCTCTGATTCAGGCTCCGACCACCACCTCTCAAAGATATCTTCTTCCAGGGCAAAGCGGAGAGCTGTGCATTTGGATTTGACCAGGAAGGCTGGCTTGCTTACGAGTGCTAACATCCTTCATGCCCTGGAAACCAGACAGCAACCACGACTGTGTGCTCTACAAGGCACTGTCCACGTAATTCAATGTCTGTATTCTGCCTATACAATTTACATTTAGGATATTATAAATCTTATTTCCAAGTTCATGAATTCAACTCAGCAAGGCTTAACATTTCAAAATTTCTTTTTTTAACTTTTACTTAATAAATATAAATTTCCAAAGTACAACTTTTGAATTATAGCAGCTTTTCCCCCCGATAACCTCCCTCCCACCCGCAACCATTCCATCTTCCACTCCCTCTCCCATTCCATTCTTCATCAAGATTCATTTTCAATTATCTTTATACAGAAGATCTACTTAGTATTTACTGAGTAAAGATTTCAACAGTTTGCACCCACACAGAAACACAAAGTATAGAGTACTGTTTGAGTAGTAGTTTTACTGTTAATTCTCATAGTACAACACATTAAGGACAGAGATCCTACATGGGGAGTAAGTGCACGGTGACTCCTGTTGTTGATTTAACAATTGACACTCTTATTTATGACGTCAGTAATCACCCGAGGCTCTTGTCATGAGCTGCCAAGGCTATGGAAGCCTCTTGAGCTCGCCAACTCTGATCTAATTTAAACAAGGCCATAGTCAAAGTGGAAGTTCTTCCCTCCCTTCAAAGAACGGTACCTCCTTCTTTGATGGCCCGTTCTCAAAATTTCTTTTTAAAAAGACTTATTTACTTATTTGAAAGGCAGAGTTACAGAGAGAAAGAAAGGGAGAAGAAGGGGAAGTGGGAGAAAAAGATCTTCTGTCCCCTGGTTCACTCCTCAAATGTCTACAATGGTCACAACTGGGCCAGGCTGAATCTAGAAGCAAAGAACTCCATCCAAGTCTCCCACAGGGGTGGCAGGGGAGCAATCACATGGGCCATCCTCTGCTGCTTCTCCAGGCACATTAGAGTGAGCTGGATCAGAAGTGGAGCCATGGAACTTGAATCAGGGCTCATGTGGGATGCTGGCATTGCAGATTGTGGCTTAACCCACTGTACCGCAATACTGACTCCATTTCAAAATTTGTTTAGTTAGGGGCAGTATCCAAGGGAAACCTCAAACTGAAGTATTTAGCAACCAAGAAAATATCAGAATAAGCAATTTATGAACTAAGACCTTAAAACACTAAGCAACAGGAGCTATGGCAATTGGATAGGGTCCTAATTAGGATAAACTCAATGGCACACACCCATAAGTCATGCAAAAAGGAAGGGGGAAAACAATTTAAAACTGTCTTAATTCACTTTTCCTACTTCAGATGAGCAATTTAAGATTAAAATTTCAGCATGTCAGGATAGTACAACCAAAGGCCAGACAATGACAACAGCGGGTGTGGGGCATCAGAGGCCAGATTACTCACCATCTTCACCTGAATGATGTTTCTCCTTCCAGTTCTTGTGACTGTGGAAGTGGAAAAAACCCTTATCAGAGAAGTTGATAAGAAGTTGGATGAGAAAAAGGGAGAGAAAAACTGGCAGGAAAATCTGGCCCCATGCCCGCAACCAGCACATTGTCCCTCAGGCCTGGTCACCCCGGCCAGGGAGAACGTGACAGGCACCGGATACTGGGTTGGACCGGAGGACCCCACTCAGGGACCATAACCCATTGCAGCCCTGGATCCTAAGACAGCCCCTTCTAAGCCCTGGACTCCAGCATAATTAGTAGAACCTTAGAACCCCTAATGTTCTGGCCAGAATGTAGAATGTTTGTAAAGCAATCCTGGTCTGCACTGGGCTTCCTGGGCCCTGAGCACTACATACTGTTAGTCCACTGGACTTAATCAAGGTCTATGTACTTCCCTCCAAAGCCCATACCTATTCCCTGCCACACTGTTGTTTTTGGAGGAAAGCCTGGAGTCTAATTTCCACTAGATTGCATGTAAGCAGTTGCAGCCCTTTGTTCTATTGTTCCTTAGATAAAAATGAGCCTATGGATGAGGAGAAAGGTTGTGAAACTCACAGCTCTTGGCTGGCGCCGCGGCTCAATAGGCTAATCCTCCACCTTCGGCACCGGCACACAGGGTTCTAGTCCCGGTTGGGGTGCCGGATCCTGTCCCGGTTGCTCCTCTTCCGGTCCAGCTCTCTGCTGTGGCCCGGGAGTGCAGTGGAGGATAGCCCAGGTCCTTGGGCCCTGCACCCGCATGGGAGACCAGGAGAGGCACCTGGTTCCTGGCTTCGGATCAGCGTGGTACGCCGGCCGCGGTGGCCATTGGAGGGTGAACCAACAGCAAAAGGAAGACCTTTCTCTCTGTCTCTCTCTCTCTCTGTCTACTCTGCCTGTCAAAACACACACACACACATACTCACAGCTCTGTAAAGACTTGATGCTGTCTTTGCCTAGTCTGGTGATCCTCTTGGCTGCTCCATTGTGTTGTGGTATGTTTTAGGTGGCATGCAGATGAGTATTTATTTTACTACATATTAGAAAAATATCTCATGAATTTATTTTCATATGCATTAGAAAAACAGTATGGCAATAATGCAAACTTTCTTTTAAAATACTTATATTAAAATCAATTTTCAGAAATAAAATTAGCAGTGCACAATTTAAAAGATAGGTCCAAAATTGGGAAAGCAGTTTTAAAATGAATGAAATTTGAGCACTATTGCTCCAATGTATAGGTGGGGAGGGGGTGAAAACTTGTGTTCAACCAGAGTCTATCTTGTTTTGGTTTTTTCAATAATCAATGATGGAGTTGTCTCATGTATTCCTGGCATACTGATCTAGAAAGCACCTTAAGAACTACAGATGTAGTACTGAAAATAAACACAGGGAAAGGGAAGATATGTGCAGAGTCCTATGTTGTTTTTTTCCTTGTCAGAGAACAAGCAGAACATTATTAGCTATAATATGGAAAGTATCCTGAATGAAAAACAACATGAAAAGATGTCAAGTGTTCACCCATAGGAAAACATATCCAAGTAGGCATGGATATGTGGGGAAAAAAGTTTTTTAAAATGTCAGTACCAGGAAATTACAAATTAAAGTAAAAATGAGCTATCACTTTGTATCTACCAGGTAGACTACCTTTTAAAAAGAAAGCTAACACATATTTCTGATGAAGACATGGGGGGAAGGTACCTTTACACCTTTTGGTGGATATGTGAATTGCTAACAGCATCTTTGGAAATTAACCTGGCAACAGCTATTAACATTTTTAAAATATGCATTCTGTATGTGCCTATTTTAATTGGGAATATGCCCTTCACTACCTCTTAGTTGTCATAATATGGGTGGGGTGTCGCTCCCCCTCTTCGTGGAGGAACGACACAGGACCCTGAGCTGTTCTTTCGTCTGCTCGGCCCTCCCCGGGTTTGCTGCTGGTTCTTCCCGGGTTGGCTACTATCCCTTCCACCTCCGTGGAAGGGCAGTTCCCCCTGGCCGCATTCCCCACTTCCGCAGGGGAGCGGCACACCGCCGGCCGGTTCTCTCGGGGGCTGCACGGGTTCCCTTAGATGTTCCCCATAGATGTTCCTGGTGCATGCCGTCTCTCTCCTCCTTTATAGTCCTCCTCCGCCAATCCCAACTCGGCTGCCCACACGCCGAGTACGCTGCTCTCCTCCAATCAGGAGCAAGTCCTACAGTTTATCAGTTGAACTGGAGGCAGCTGTGCGGAAGCTGTTTACTTCTCTCCCAGCGCCACATTGTGGGAGAGCAGATGCATAGAATAAGTCTCAATTTGAGTAACTTAGTCTAGTCCGGATTGCTCCCCACAGTGGGGTTCCAACTCCTACCCTGTAAATGTAGTAGGAGGTCCAGCAAATCAGAGCATGGAATCTCCCAAGGCCCTACAATTGGGTCAGGGGTGGGCACATGACTTAAAGCAATCCAAACCAAATCAGTCTTGGGGCTTATGCTATGAATTCTGGGACAAAGATGTCTGTGTTCTTCTAAATTCAAACTTGGAAGGATTTAGTCTACCCCAGCTGTTAAAAGCTGTCTTGAGACTTACAGAGTATGGCCATGAAAATGCCCGTATCAAAACAAAACTGACTGATGGCCTCAGCTGCTATCCCTCAGATTTCTCCATAATATTCATGCCAAGAAAAAGCTTCCTATCTATCCTCAGTCAAGACAAAACATGGCAGGGATACTAATACGAGATGTTTCCCATGGGAGATTTTGGTTTGAGGACTTCCCATTAATCTGGTTGAAAGTTACTTAGAACTCTGAAACTTTACCAACCAAACTCTCCCTCCTTCCTCTCTCTCCTCTGAGCTGTCAATCTTGCATTGCTGTTTGAAGGTTCTCTTCACCTTCAGTGGCCCCTCCCCTTTATCTTTCCAACCTTTTCTCCAGTACACCTCTCACACTTCTTATCTCATTTTAGCAAGTGATTCAGGAAGGATCTAAATGAGCATAAATGCTGCTGACATTGTTCTGAGAAAATAGGAGTTAAGATAAAGCTTTGAGGCCGGCGCTGTGGCTCACTAGGCTAGATCTCCACCTGCAGCGCTGGCACCCTGGGTTCTGGTCCCGGTTGGGGCGCCGGATTCTGTCCCAGTTGCTCCCCTTCCAGTCCAGCTCTCTGCTGTGGCCTGGGAGTGCAGTGGAGGATGGCCCAAGTGCTTGGGCCCTGCACCCGCATGGGAGACCAGGAAGAAGCACCTGGCTCCTGGCTTCGGATCAGTGTAGTGTGCCAGCTGCAAGGCGCCGGCCTTAGCGACCATTTGGGGGGTGAACCAACGGAAGGAAGACCTTTCTCTCTCTCTCTCTCTCTCTCACTGTCTAACTCTGCCTGTGGAAAAAAAAATGGTATCTTCTCTATGAGACCTAGCCTGACAACTTTAGGGACCATTGAAAATTCCTATTCTACTTTTCCATTTTTTCAAATAATCCTATTCTTCTTGCCTTATCATATCCAAATGTATGCCTATTAAAGTAGTTTTTAACACATTCACTGCTTTTTCACTTATTATATATGGTTAATGTTTGTAAAATAATAAATAATGTAAGAAAGAAGAGAGTGCAGTCTCAAGGAAGAGTTAGGGAGATCATAGCAGAGGAAATTCTACAAAATTGGAGGGACACAGTGGACTTACATGGAGGGCGTGGAGGCACACAACTCAGGACCCCAGCAGCCAAGAGCCTCTGCACCAGTGTTGGAGAGTGAGGTGAGACCAGACTGCAGCACCCCAAGCCACTGGCGAAAAAGCTACAGGAAGAGCCTAGAGGGAATCCAGCTTGGTGCCCCATGGGGGACAGTGTACCTGCCAAACTAGAGGAGAAAAAGCAAAGAGGGGAGGGACATGTTTCTCTCTCCTTGATCATCCTGCAATGGGGTCCTGTAACAAGCTGATAGAGAGCAGGCACCATATGGACATACGTAACAGCTGCACCAGCCCATGTCCACGCCCAGCAACAGGCCAAGCAGAGACTCCTGAGTCTGGTGGGGAGAACATACAGGAGTCTGGGTGCTCATGAATGTGGGAGGCTTGTGTGCCAAAACTGTGAAAACTTTGAGGCTGTGTGGGAGGACTCAGGGTGTGGCTGGGACTTTGAACAGTCACTGTGGGAGGCTCCACAAGATCAGGGCTCCCTGGTTACCTGGTGAGGGACATTGCTAGGGAACCTGAGCTTATACTGAGGGCTGCACAGATCCTTTGTGTGGTCCTTGTGGCAGGACAGATGAATAATATACCGACTGGGGCTAGTGCCCAGGCACTGATCTCCTTTGAGGAGAGGAGCTCTGCTGAGTCTAGACCAACAGACAAAAACAAACCTCCCCTCTGATAAAATAAAAAAAAAAAAAGAGGAGATTTACCAAGCCGAACCTAGGTGTCACCTCAGGCACACCCTTCACCCTGGAGAACTGAACAGAGCTCCCTGTCATATCCACCACACGCCTCTAGGTATTCATTGAAAGCAGACATTCCACTAATCTGCAGAGGCATACTCCAAAGATAAAAGCCACCACAGCGAAAAATCAAAGAAGAAACCAACAAGTATCTCCACAAATGCCAAATAACAAATGCACCAATTCAAGAAACAAGAATAAGGAAGACAACATGACACCCCAAAAATAACACAACACTTCAATCCTAAATTGTGAAGATAATGAGATTGAAGAAGTGCCAGAAATAGAATTTAAAAAATTGATCATAGGATTACTTAGAAGTAATCAGAAGCAAATGCATGAACTAATAAAATCCATATATGACATGAAAGAAAATTTCTCCCATGAAATTAATATCTTAAAGAGACATCAAAATGAAATCTTAGAAATGAGGAATTTACAGAACAAAGAAAAATGCAGTGGAAAGCCTTAACAACAGAATCAGTAAAACAGAATAAAGAATATCCAACTTAGAAGACAAAGTACAGGAAATTATACAGTCAGACCATACACAACAAGAAGAAATTAGAAAGCTAAAAAACACTTAGCAATCTTGACTGGTGCCGTGGCTCAATAGGCTAATCCTCTGCCTGTGGTGCCAGCACACCGGGTTCTAGTCCCAGTTGGGTCACTGGATTCTGTCCTGGTTGCCCCTCTTCCAGTCCAGCTCTCTGCTGTGGCCCGGGAGTGCAGTGGAGGATCCTTGGGCCCTGCACCCGCATGGGAGACCAGGAGAAGCACCTGGCTCCTGGTTTCGCATCAGCACAGTATGCCGGCCGCAGTCCGCCAGCTGCAATGGCCATTGGAGGGTGAAACAACGGTAAAGGAAGACCTATCTCTCTGTCTCTCTCTCTCACTGTCCACTCTGCCTGTCTAAAAAAAATACAAAACAAAACAAAAACATTGTTAGTAATCTAAGGACACTATAAAACTACCCAACATACAGGTTCTAGGAGTTTCTGAAGGTGTGGAAAGAGAGAATGAATTGGAAGGCCTTTTTAGTGAAATATAACAGAAAATTTCCCTAATTTGGAGAAAGAAAGGGACATCCA